GTATTAAAACTCATGGCACTATTTTAGATTTAAATGTACATTTTTGTATTTATACTCCAAACAGAACATATAATTTTCTTCCAGTCCTGCCTCTGCAAACTACTTTTCCTGCACTGGTTTCCTGCTGAGTAGGGGTGGGGGAGGGGGTGACAGCTTGTGGGCAAGGAGCTTCCTTTGTGAGGTGACAGAAATGTTCTGGAACTAGACAGTGGTGAGGGTTGCACAAGTCAGTGAATGTACTAAAAAAAACAAAACACTGGATAGTCCACTTTAAAATAGTGGATTTTTATGGGATGCAATTACATCTCAATTAAAAGAAGACATCTCCATAACGTTCCAAGGGTGGCTGCCTCCCACACAGCCTTTGCGTTCTTATCTGTGACATCAGGGATTCCCTTTGGCAGGTGCTGGCCAGCACTTGGCACTATTGATCTTTCGGGTTTTAGCTGTTCTCACATCGCGGTGGCCCCTCTCTGGGGTTTTAATCCGCACTTCGCTGTGGGCTGGTGCTGTTAAGTACATGCTTATGGCCATTGGATGTCCTTTCTCAGGACCTGCCCTTTAAACCTTTGGCCCATTTTCTCAACTTGGGTTTGCTGATTTCTTTCATTGGTTTGTGAGTGTTCTTTACATATGCTAGATCCAAGTTCTTTGTTGTGTTATGTAGTGCAAATAGCTTCTCCCAGCCTATTCTTTGCCTGTTGACTCCCCTAATGGTATATTTGGACAAAGAAAATTGTTTAAAATAAAATAGTAAATGTTTTAATTAGAACTAAATTTTATAGGCAAGGAGGCTTAGTAGATGAGTCATTGAGGAGACAGTTTGCCAGCAGTAGCATCAGCTTTTCCACGTGGAGGACAGAGAAAATGAGATTGGCTTCATTCACAAATAAAGAGGCTGAGGTTCCCAGAAGCACCCTGGCTCGTCCTGGGGCCCCGGAGCAGCAGCACCATTCTGTGTTCCTGGTCTGAGTAGAAGCCTGGGAGGGTGATTCTGGAAGACACCCACCCAGGCCCCCATTAGGGTATTTCTAACACACTGCAGGGTTGGCATGCAATCCTCAATTTTGAGTTACAAAAGCTCATTTTCTGCCAAGTGTAATGGACGGGAAGGCCACTATTTATGTCTTGTCCCCTCTGGCTGGCTGCCTCACAGGTCAATCGTTTGTGTAAACATGTGGTGTGGAATGAGGACATGGCCACCCACAGTGGCTTCCGGAGGACCTGTGCCCCATCCCTGTCCACTGCTGGGTCCCCAGAATAGTGGTGCCGGAGGTGCCAGAGTGGGCAGCTGGGAACAGTGTGTCTGCACCAGGTCGTCAGTGCCCAGCCTTTCTGGACCCAGATCATAGATGGCTGGGGTCCTGTAATTCTTCACAAAATAATGGAAAGTTGGCTGGTAGCTGAGGGGCAAGCCAGCCCTGACCACACCCCTCCCTTGATTCCAGGTGGCTGCAACGTGCCACAGGCAGAATCTGAAGTGGGACTCCCTTATTTGGAGCCCGGTAAAAGGATGCGGGCCAGGACTCCCCCACTGTGCACCAGTCCTATTTATAACAGGAACCCATGGAAAGTTCTCCTGGTCCCATTGAGCTACTCTCATCAATAAGTCATGGGCAGGATGAACGATTCTTCCCCAGGGAGCAGCAAAGAGGCGGCCGCTTCGCCCTCTCCATGCCCTGTCGGCCATGTCAGGATGTCAAACCTGCTGGTCAGGCCATTCGCAAAAGGCCATACAGGGAGTCACTGTGTGGCCTAGAAATTCCCCTTGTAGTTGGAAATAGAGAACCGAAAACACATGTACACACAACAATCTATATACCCACGTTCACAATTTACAACAGCTAAAAGGCGGACACAACCCAAGTGTCCATCAGTGGGAATGGACAAACACACTGTGATCCCTCTACACACTGGAATATCACTCAGCCAGGAAAAGCAGCGAAGCTCTGACACTCGCTACAACATGGACAGGCCTTGGACACATGATGCTCAGTGAGAGAAGCCAGACCCAAAAGATGACACATTGTGTGACTGTATTTACGTGAAATGTCCAGGACAGAGACAGTTGGGTCAGTGGTCGTCAGGGTGTGGGGAAGGGGGAGGGGTGTGACTGCTGATTGGGATGGTTTTTTGGGGGTGTTGATGAGGAAGCTCTAGAATTAATAGTACCGATGGTTGCACAATTCTATGAATGTACTAAAAATCATTGAATTGCATAATTTATTTTTGCATAGTTTTAAAATATATCTTTACCAGGTTTGTGTACAATTTAATTTATACAATTCAGATAGATATACTAAAAAAAAAAACAAAAAAAACCTGCCCCAACTCACCATTTCACTTATTCCACCAATTCATCTTTCTAGGAGCAAACACTTTCCACATTCTTTTTTTTCCAGCTTTGTTGAGGTATGATTGATCTGTAAAAATTGTCCTCCTATGTTGTTCATTGGCACCAAGATGGCGATGGAAACGAGGCTTCCCATCACATGCAAGCCTCTTGGTGAGCACCTGCGCCGCAAGGCTGAGGGACCCTCCATGGTGCCGGAGGACACAGTCATCATGGACACAGGTTCCATGTGGGGCCGTGGAACTTACAAGGGGGAGGAGAAACGCAAGGCCTCTGTGACTGGGTCGGTGGAAAGAGTAAACACGCTGATCTGCGTGAAAGCTTTGAAAACCAGACGTGATGGCGAAGTAGGCGCCATCGTGGTGGGGGGATCACGGAAGCTCAATCAAAGAGGCGGAAGGTGGAGACCAGCTCCAGGCTGGATGCAGCCTTGCTTCTGTCATCCACAAACTTCCCCGTACAAGAGCTGCGGGGAGGAGCTGTGGAAGATGAGCTGCCAGTGAGAGGGGTTTTTTGCAGAAAAGGGACTCCAGGCCGTGTTCTCTAACTGAGTCGTCTCTCTGCACATGAGGAATCTGAAACACAGAAAACTAGGTCAGGCTGCTTCGGTCCAGGTTTCCCTTCCTGATGAAATGACAGATGACTCCCTTCTGCAACTTGCCTTGTGGTGCCTCAGGGATTCTGGGCAACAACAGCTTCACCTGGATCTACCCTGCACCGAGCACAAAGACGAGGCTGCAGACGGCTCGCTGCAAACCTGTCTCTCTTGCCGATCCAGAGATGGTCTGCCGGCTTCAGGACTGTGTCCTCGTCTCACTGGTAACTCAGAGGATGACACCTTCTGATACCCATGTCCTGTGTTGCTGTGAGGCACATCAGATGAAAGGCATCTTAAAGCCAGAAATGACAGAGGAAATTGTGATGGAAGCACGTCAGAGGATTTTAGAACAGGAGGGGTAAGAAGAAGAACCTGAAGGAAGGACAAGGCCGTGTGCCTGACGGAGCAGTTGTTGAAAGTGAAGCATCCGATCTGCAGTCCCTGCGTGTGGCTCAGCAAAGACCTGGGACTGGAAAACTCATCCTGGGGCCTCCGTCGGGCTCCTCTAGCCCACAGGCCTGCTGTTTTCCGTTCAAAGGCAAAGCCTGTGGTGCTGGCCCTGTGGGCTGCCTGCAGATCAATAAGCACTGGAGGTGGTGGGGGGCTTTAAAAGCACACAGCGTTCCACAGGTGGACTCCCATCCTGGAATAGTATGGAAAATCTTCTGCCTTCTATTCGTCGTCAACTCACAAGGCACCATGTCCCATGAAATTGCCCCTGTTAAAAACATGGCCCCCCCACCCCCAAATCGTCTGTCTTGGCTTCCATTCCCACCTTCTTTGCAACACAGTTACAACAATGAAGAGTGTAGTTGGTAAAGTTAACCCAGCAGTCAAATGAAAGAATAAAGTGAACCAAACAAGAAAAAATAAATGTATTTAATGTGTAGAATGTGATGGTTAGATATCCATATACATTGTGAAGCGATCACCGCAATGAAGCTAATTAACACCTGCATCATCTCACATAGTTTCGGTCCCTCTTTTTGTGATGAGAACGTTGACGATTTACTCTCAGCAAATTTCAAGGACACAACACAGTGTTGTTGCTATGGTCGCCACATTAGATGCCTGGGACTTACTGATCTTATACTGAATGTTTGTGCCCTTTAAGCAATATCATCCCATTTCTCCCACCCCCAGACCCCTGAGACCACCATTCCACTCTGTTTCTATGAGTTTGACGTTTTTAGATTCCCAATATAAGCGAAAGCATACAGTATTTGTCTTTCTCTGACTTATCTTTCTTAACATAATACCCTTCATGTCCATCCGTATTGTCAAAATGGGAAGATTCCATTCTTTTATGGCTAAATAATATTCCATTGTATGTATGTACATTTTCTTTATCCATTTGTCTCTTGATGGGCACAGGTTGCTTTCACATCTTGGTTATTCTAAATAATGCTGCAATGAACGTAGGGGTTCATATATCTTTTCAAATTAGTGTTTGGGTTTTCTTTTGGATAAATACCCAGAAGAGAAATTGCTGGGTCATAAAGTATCTCTATTCAATTTTTTTAGGAGCTTCCATACTGTTTTCCATAATGGCTGTACCAATCTGCATTCCCACCAACAGGGCGTGAGGGTTCCCTTTCATCCACATTCTCAACAACACTGGCTGTTTATTGATTTATTGATGATAGCCGTTCTGACAGGTGTGGGTGATATCTCTTTGTGGTTTTAATTTGCACATCCCCGATGATTAGTGACGTTGAGCATATTTTCATATGTCCGTTGGCCGTCCGTATGTCTGTCCCCTTTGCAAGAATGCCTCTTCAGGCCCTCCGCACATTTTTCAGTCGGGTTACTTTTCAACCCTCTGTCATAGCTGGACCTCACTGTGAGGGGGGCCCCGCCCCCGTCCTCCCCAGCGTTCCACATTTTCTTTTTGAGCAATATTTATTTATTTACTTATTTATGTATTTGCCTTCCATCATAGCCTTTATTCAGCATCAAACTAGGTTCCTGGTGAATGCAATAAAACACAAAAGAATAACAAAGCCATGAGAGTTGGGAAGAAAGAAATAAATTGTTATTATTTGCAATAAAATTGTAGAACGCTCCACAAATTTGCGTGTCATGCTTGTACAGGGGCCACGCTGATCTTCTCCGTATCGTTCCAGTTTTAGTAGATGTGCTGCTGAAGTGAGCACTTTCTGAGCAGTTTTAGGTTTACAGAAAAATTAAGCAGAAAAAACAGAGTTCCCAAATACCCTCACACCAATTCCCCTATTATTTTCCCCTGTTATTAATATCTTGGTACATTTGTCATAATTGATGAGCCAGAATTGATACATTATTATTAACTAAAGTCCACAGTGGACATCAGGGTTCTTTTCTGGTGTTGGACTCTCTATGGGTTTAGACAAATACACAATGACACGTACCCACCACTACAATGTCACACAGAGTAGTGTCACAGTCCTGAAACCCTCTGTGCTCCCCCTGCGAATCCCTCCCCCACCTCAACACCCACATCTCCTCTTCCTGTTTCCACAGTGTTGGCCTTTTCCAACATGCCCTAGAATTGAAATCATACAGTACATAGCCTTTCAGACTGGCTTCCTTCACCCAGTAATATACATTTAAGATTCCTCCATGTCTTTTTGTGGTTTGAGAGCTCATTTCTTTTCAGCACTGAATGACATTCCATTGCCTGTATGGACCACCGTTATTTATCCATTGCCTGTCGAAGGGCATCTTGGTCACTCCCATGTGCGGCCATTATGAGCAAAGATGCCGGAAACACCCTGTGAAATTTGTGTGTGGATATTTTCCTTTGGTTTTACATCTGCAGGGCACCAAACACCCCCGGCAGGTTTTTCCAGCCATCGAGTCCAAGGTGGTAACTCAAGTGGGGCTGCCCGAACTTGTCCAAATTTCCAAATTTCCCTCCTGTGCACATAGCTCTCAAATGATGAAGACGCACCATTTGGTCTAACACACACCCTCGCCAAGCAAGCCCTGACTCGGCCAGTGGGACCTCAGGGTGGGGGGCAGTGAGGTGGCCAAAAACAGTGGCTTGGACCCAGGCTCCGAGTGCGTCCACACCACTAAGAATCCTGCTCACCAGTGGGAATGAAGTCAAACAGGTCAGCCACTGCGCAAAAGTCAGCAGTTCCTCAAAAAAACCCAAATTAGAGAGTTACCTATGTCCCAGCAACTCCACTGTTAGGCACGTACCTCCAAATAACCGAAAACAGGTGTTCAGACAAAAACGTGTTCACAACTGTTCACAGCAGCATGACTGACAACAGCCAAAATGTGAAACAGCAGGTGAACAGACAAACACAACGGGGTCCGTCCGCACACTGGGCTCACCAGTGACACTCACCATAACGTGGACGGAGCTTGAAAACACGATGCACAGCCAAAGATGCCAGACACAAAAGGCCACACAGTGTGTGATTCCATTCATGTGAAACGTCCAGAGCAGGCAACTCCACGAAGGCAGGAAGTATGTTAGCGTCAGGGGCTGGGGAGGGGATGGGAGAGTGAGTGCTCATGGGGGCTTCTTTTTAGGGTGGCCCTGGAGTGTTCTGGAACAAGACAGAGGTGATGATTACACGGTGTTACACATGTACTGAATGTTACTGAAAATGATTAATTCTATGTTATGTGAATTTCACCTCAATTTCATTTTTTAAAGATTTTATTTATTTATTTTAGAAAAAGGGGAAGGGAGGGAGAAAGAAAGGGAGAGAAACATCGATGTGAGAGAGAGAGACATCAATCCGTTGCCTCTAGTACACTCCCCATTTGGGAACTGAAGCTGAAACCCAGGCTGTGCCCTGACCAGAAATCAACCAGCAACCTTTAGCTTTGTGGGATGACCCCGAACCAAGCCACACTCGTCAGGACATTCACCTCAATTTAACAAAAAAGTTCGTGCTCAAAGCCACTTTACTTCCAGATTGCTCACACTCTGATTGCCCACCATGCCCCCACTCTGTGCTGGCCACAGACAGGCCCGGGGGAAAATAAAAGCCCAAAGTGTAGCACCTGCTGGGCCTCAACCAGACCCCAATCCTCCAGCTTCCTGAGAACAGTCTCCTTTGAACAACTAAAGCCCACCTGAGTGCCCCAGACCCTGCTCAGACCTGACTGCACTATCTGGTTCTACCCTGCTTTTCTTCCTGGAGGAGGTCAAGGTCACACAGGAGGGAGGTGTCCTCTCTAGGGGACAAGGGCTCTCTGCAAACCAGGCACCTCAGCTCCACACCGTGCGACCCTGGTCCCCCACTTTAGAGACCATATTGAGGCTCAGGGTGGTGAAACAACTCCTGAAATTACCTGCTACCCCCTGGACCCTACCCGGGTGAGCCTGTCCTTCTCTGAGGAGCCCACTGTGTTCATGTGGCCATGAATACACACTCAGTAGGGTGTGGATCCAGTTGAGGGTTTTGGGGCAGTGATTTTAATGCCTGTGTCGGTTTTGCCCCTGGGAAACTGGGGGCCCTCGGGGGCTGGCCACTGTCTAACCAGTGTCTGAAATTTTGTCGCCTCCCCCTGAGTTCAGGCCTTGGTGTCCACCACCACCCAGCCAGGTCTGCAAAGGGCAGAAGTCTCTTTTCCAACTCCCTCCCTTCAACGTCAAAGTGGAGGGAGGCACAACTGTCCTGGCTAGGGGGTGGATGGTGGTGATGGGGGTGGGAGGGGTGGAGGAGCAAGGGATGGCCTGCGGCAAGTCAGCCATGGGTAGCCAGGCCTGCCTGGAGACCAGGAATGCGGGCTGGGGGTCGGGCAAGCCGGCAGCGCAAACTTAGATGGAATAACCCCAGCATAGTGTCACTGGGGGATGATACAGCCTAGGAGGGCGCTTGCGTGTCCTACGACTTGGCCAGCTTGTGGTTCCAGGACAGGACAAAGTCCCAAAACGCTGGCTGGCTGCAGAAAACAAAAGGAAAAAGGAGTTCCTGGGGCATCTAATTTAAAACAAGCAAACAAACAAGTGGGGACAAAAGAAGGAATGCACGGAATGCAGCCAGGTCCCCTTCCGGGTGCACTGACCCTACAGAACCTGAGGCCACCCCAGGCTCTGTGCTCCGTGGGAGGGAGCAAAGAAAATTATTAACACTAAGGAATTTTGCTATCTTTACTGCCACAGAGATCACTCCCTCCAGCAGCTTTGCTGTAAGGGGCATTTGGGTGTCTCGGTGGGGAGCCCCTCAGGGTTTGAATTCTTGGGCGTGGAAGAACCCCATGAAGGTTCCAGAGACAAAAGCTTAGCAGGGAGAAATAACCATGAACTTCACGAGCTGTTGGAGGAATATGGGCATTTACAGAAGCGTTTTTAAGCCTTGGCCTGGTTGTGCCGAGGCCCCTCTCCCGGAACCCTACACAATGTCTGGAAATGACACAACATTCCACGCTTTGAAGATAAACAGCAGCAGCATTCGGTATGTTTGTTTTTATGGTTGGAACTGTTTTATCTTTAGCAAAAAGGAAGGAGCCTGTGCTTGCCCACATAATTCTAGAATTTTCCTCCAGGATCATGCCCGGGAATTTAAACTCTGCTTGCTAGACAAAGAAGCTGGGGCGGGGGAGGAAAATGTGGCTTTCTTCTAAATAAATAAATAAATAAATAAATAAATAAATAAATGTGTAGATTTTAGGGAAAGAAGGATTTTCATAATCTTAGTCTTTCTGGGTTTTTTGGTGTTTTTTTTTTTTTTTTTTGGAACCCTGCTGTTTTGATAGGGAGACCCCTGGGCATTGGACTGGTCAGAGGTTTGGGGTCTGGAGACTCAGGAGAGGTGGTAGGTCGGTCCCAGGTCAGCTGGGCTGGGGAGGCTCCTGTCTCCTCTGGAACGTGGGGTGGGGTGGTCAGGAACGTTGTGCCTGACCCCTGTCCTCTCTGAGTGGGCATCCAGATTTAGGGCTGGACAAGTCTGTGCACCCTCAGAACATTTTGAGGTCAAAGGAACAAGGAAGGAGATATTCCCCGCATGAAGAGGGGCCCCACTCCCATGCTGCAGGCTGATCAAGAGCATCAGCAACCTGGCACATACTGACCAAGGGCCTAACAGCATCAGCAACCTGGCACATACTGAAGACGTTTCCAGAATTTCAGTTTGGAAAGATGAGAAAGTTCTGGATGGTGGTGACCGTTGCACAATGATGTGAATGTACTTAATGCCTCTGAGCTGTACCATTGAAAAATGGTGAAAAAGGTAAATTTTACATTCTGCATATTTTACTATTAAAAAAATTAGTTTTAGAGGAAATGTTAATATCATCTGGAAAGTTTCAGGATGTAAAATAAGGGGAAGGGAGAATCTGCTTAACAAGGAAGCAAGTCTCACTTTGGTGAACAGAATAAAACTACAAAATAAAATTCAAAGCCCCTGCTCAATATAATACCCTCCAACACACTAGCAGTTGTTCCCTCTGGATTGCTGGGGACAGTCTGTTTCCTCCTCTGCTCTATTTTTAAATGTTTTGTAATACTAACTTGACCGAGTTGGTTGTTAAATGCAAAATGCATCATGGAAAAATGAATACAAAAGGCCCGAGGACCATTTAAAACTCAAAGGATGGAAGAAGATGAGAAGATGCATAGCCACCATTTAAAACTCAAAGGATGGAAGAAGATGAGAAGATGCATAGCCGGTCGTTCGTACCATGATGCTGCCTTACAAAACACACACACAAAATGACTGCATTGTCCCTATAGATTCCACAATGGAACACAGGCCTTGGAAACGTCTGGGAGTAATCTGGAAGCAAGCAACATGAACCTGGAACAGCAGGAATATGCAAGGAATAGGGCAGAGGAGTTTTATGTTTATTTTATATTCTTGGTGTGTGTGAATTCATCACAATGATAATTTTTAACCGGTCTTTAGAAAGTATTAGCGTGATTGGGATTATATGTGTTATATAAATATGTATACAGTATGCATATATATACACACATATGCAGATGTAAAAATATTTTTAGGCGGGGGGAGGAGGAAAGAGAGGAAGGGGAACATAGATGTGCGAGAGGATCCACTGATTGCCTCTCTCACGCCCCCCAACTGGGGACCTAGCCTGCAACCCAGGCATGCGCCCTGACTGGGAATCCAACCAGCGACCTTTCTGTCTGCAGGTTGGCACTCAATCCTCTGAAACACGCCATCCAGGCTCCACTTGTTTTCTTCTTCTTATT